CGCTACTAGGAACAGGTGCCTTACTAGTAGTAACAAGAAGCTAGTAGAAACAAGTGCATCGCTACTAGTAACAAGTGCCTTACTAGTAGGAACAAGAACGCTACTAGTAGTAACAGGACCCCAAACGTTTGAGAGCTGGACATTGGCTGCGGCCACCACGGCTGACACGCGCTCATTCACCTTGCTGTGCCATGTGCGGCTGGCACGCGCAAAGGTCTGACAAGTGAAAAATGTGAGTGTCCAAGTTCGTTGGAAGGTATCAACAGCCAGGGGAGGAATGACAGTGCCGCACTACATCCTACTAGTATAATCGCCATCGCCAGGCATGTGTTGTGCCATCCTGTGAAACACAACTCATCTAGTGATCACCACCGGCACAACAGCAGAACGAGTTCTTCGATGCTGGGGCTGAGAGCTGAAACTAGCATGTCCTGCATGAAGCAACGGCAAGGCTTTGGGTCAGGGGTCACAAGTGTAGCTTTCTCGCCTCCAACCTAAGAGCGAAGGACCCCAACCTAGAAGCCCCCAACCTACGAGGGATTGCATCCAACCTACTAGCGATGGCCTCCAACCTAAGAGCGATGGCCTCCAACCTGGAAGCGATGGCCTTCAACCTGCTAGCAATGGCCTCGAACCTACGAGCGATGGTCTCAAATCTAAGCTAACGGACGCCTCTCACTAGACATGTGAACTGATCCTTCATGTGTTGCCAATCTCCGGCCATTGAACTCCTGAAAATGGAAAGGGAGCTCTTTGTTTTCTATCGCAATTTGATTCCTGAAGTCCTGAAGAAAGGACCCCTTTGAAAAAGTTGAACAAAGCTTGATGGACATGTGACATATCCCAAAATGAAAGTGCAGAATGTTAACTGGGACCTGAATGGACGTGAATGGACCTGAGGTATGTTCGGTCCCTTGATAATCCCTCTAAGGCCTATCAATCAGCAGTTTCTGCACTCCTCCAGCTCAGCCAGAAGCTCGTCCTGCGCAAAACGGGTGCACCATGTTCACAGTTCTTCAGTCAGCCCTCCGGAGCAAGGACGCTACTAGGGGCTCCTGGCCTTACTACTAGCAACAAGAAGCTACTAGGAGCAAAGGGCATCGGAGCAAGGACGCTTCTCCTGGCGTGAGGAATTCAGCTTTAGAAGGCGCTGTTGATGACCACATTGCCTGGCGCGGAGAAGTCGATCCGGAAAAACCGGTTCCTCTCTGTCACGAACGGTCCCCGTGCACTTCGACATGAAGTGGGTTCTCCAACAAGAAAAAAGGTAAGAAGTAACAAGTGCATCGATACTAGTAGCTTCTAGCTACTAGTAGCGATGCCCGCGATACTAGTAGCGATGCACTTGTTCCTAGTAGAAGGGTTGAATAATGAGAGTAATGAGAGTAGGAGCAACCATTGGAACCGAAGATGAGTCACGAGAAGACATGTCTTTCACAGGAGCCCTAGGTTGTCATTTTCTCATCCATCCAAGGGCACCTGAACGGCATAAACAAGAACTGACCAAACACCACAGTGCGCGCCTTGCGAGTTGCAACACAGCATCCATTCTAGGCCTTGGACTACGTGTAGAAAGGTTGGACACTACCAGGCGGTCCAAATGACCGTGGAATGAACAGCATCGACTACCGTAGTGGGTGTGAGCTGATCTTATGGGCACCAGGGTGTTCACTATTAACCCAAAGCACATGTGCGGCTAAAGATGTACCAAGTGTTCATCCTTGTCCGTTTCGTAAGAGGCATTGAGGCCACCTGAATAACCCGAGCACAAAAAGAGCGGTGGGCGGTGGCACAATTGCCACACCCCCTCCTAATCATCCTTACCGCCATTCATCGTTCATCTTGTGTTTCAAACTAAACCGGGTCGCTTCAAGTTCCTTTATTGTGACCCTTGGTTTCACGAGTTTCATCGACCTTCTCCGAGTTGCTCCACATCATGAAGCTTCTCTTCGAGCCCCATGGCGACCGTGTTCCCGCGCTCACACCCACAAACCACAAACTGGGGAAAGGGGGGAACCACGGTGAAAGCGCGGTTCACAACCCGCGTGTTGCGATTGATGCTGACAGCGCGAACCGCCGAACTTGCTGTTTTTGCTCCTTGAACCTCAAATAAGCCGCAGCAAATGAAGGTTTCACGGCCTTCCTGCTAAGTGGCGCAACTCAGAATTCTTTCAGCGGTCAAACAAGAGCTTGAATAGCGTTCTCGTTTTAAAAAAAACATAAATCAAAAAGCATATTGCTGGAAATATCTGGAAATAGTGTGAAGTCATTGGCATTAGCGTTGGCGTTCTTCTTGGAATATCCAACACCCTGCTTACGAATCTGTAAGGTATGTCCTTAGCTGTTGGCACGTCTTCATCTCAAAAACGAGCACGGTTTTGGAGCCTTGCCCACTTTGGAGCATCAACTGAGAAACTATATTCAATGTGACATGTGTTTCGCTGGACTCGCCCTCCATGTGTCAAATCGAAGTCTCAGATTTGAGACCTGGGCATGATGGGACTATCAGTGGGAAGGGCCGGTTGAAGATCTGGAGGTGGTTGCTTGTTGGCACTGGTGGTTGGAGATGGGGACTTGGCGAAATCTGTGTGTGGTGTAGCGTGAGTGTTAGTCTGGAGCTGTGCTGAATCGGCTGCGGCTGTGTGGTCAAGATCCCTCTGTTTTAGGATCCCTTGAAACCTGAGGTACAAGATCGCTGTGTCAGGAACCCTTGGAAGCACCGGCTCCTTTGTGAAAGCACGTATTCTTTGTATCAAGAGCCATTAGAAGCACTCGTGTAAGAGCCTGTTTGAGGATCCCTATATGAGGACCCTTTAAAGCATCTGTGCAAAAAAAACTCAAATCAGGATACCTGGAAGACACTTGCACAAGACCATTGTTTCAGGATCCTTTGTTATGTCAAGAACAGTTGTTTGTAATCCTTATGGCCGGATTTGGACAAGAACTGACAAGAACCCTCTATGAGGATCTTTTGAAAGCATTGGTGCAAGACCCCTGTATCAGGATCCTTCGGTGCTTGTCGGAGATTCATGTATCAGGCCCCTTTAGAAGCACGTGTGCCAGATCCTTATCAGGATCTGTGAAAGTATGTACAACGTCCGTGTATTGGAACCGTGTGAAATCACTTGCACAAGATCCTGACAGCAAGATGCTTTGAAAGCAACTAGGGGCTCCTGGCCTTACTACTAGTAACAAGAAGCTACTAGGAACAAGTGCATCGCTTCTAGTAACAAGTGCCTTACTAGTAGTAACAAGAAGCAACTAGGGGCTCCTGGCCTTACTACTAGGAGCAAGAAGCTACTGGGGGCTCCTGGCCTTACTACTAGGAGCAAGAAGCAACTAGGGGCTCCTGGCCTTACTACTAGGAGCAAGAAGCTGATGATGAGGATGGGTTCCTTCCGACCGTCCGACCTTCCGACCTTCCAAGCCGGCCGACGGTGTCTTCGTCCATCTCGTTTGAGAAAAATCACGGATGAAAAATGTCAAGAGGATTTTGCACTGATGGCACTACAGTACCTGAATGTACCTGAGCTATAGGCTATAGTCCTTAGTATTTCTGTCTGCTTGTGCTTCTTCAAGTTATATGCTGTGTTCAGCGATAACAACCTGAAAGATCTGAACAGCTATCTGGTTGACTCATCAAGGCTGACAACACTACATGAGCCAAGCACAGCGAAGTTCAGGACAAGCGTAAAGCACAAGTGCAACATGGTGAAATATGTGTATCACTTTGTTGCTTCCAACAGCATTTGCACGAGTGGGTTATTGAACCCTCCGCCCCGATCTCGCCTCGCCTTTTGGGCCTGCATGAGCTAGTGTATTGGACATCTTTACAAGTTCCACATCCCCCGACTCTGAACGTCAGGGACGTGAAGAGCAGTAGCGGAGTCTGGCCAGGGAATTCTCTCAACCTGTAACCAACAACGCTTTCTGCTTTGCATTTCGACATTCAAATCTCACAAAATTCATTCGTTTCAAATGCTTGTCAATCATCTGCCGACTCAAAATCTTTGTCATCAAATCTGCATTGTTCTTCGTTCCGTCCACTTTCTCTATGGTCAGCACCCCATCTCTTGTATGCTGCTGCAACCACAAAAATCTTGCCTGCACATGCTTTGTTTTACCAACACCCACACGGCATGCTATTGCACGAGCTGCCGTTGAATCGCACTTCATTGTCAATCCACATGGAATGCTCCATTCCTCCAACAAGTGTTTCAAAAACAAACAGGAAATCGCACCTTTGCAAATCCCATAATATTCAGCCTCTGCCGAACTCAAGGAAACAACGCTCTGCAAATTGCTCTTGGTCAACAAAAGATGTTGCCCTGCCATCACTGCAACACCTGTGGTAGAACGTCTTGTTTCCAAATCACACGCCCAATCACTGTCTGTGAATCCAATCAACTGGTATTGTTTCATGTATTGCATTCTGAAAATTCGTTTCCCGTAGGGATGTTTCACCAGATATCTTCCAAGCTTCTTCAATTTCTCAAAATGAAACACCTTTGGTTGCGACATCCCACGGGCCAAATTCTTTGCTGTATTGGCCAAGTCTGGCCTGTCCTGCGAGAGATAGGCCGTTCTCATGGTCAACGACCTAAACAACTTTGTGTCCTCAGCATTCAATGACTGTTTCTTCAGATGCTCAAAGTCAACCTCATTGACTTTCACTTCCGGGACATCAGATCCCTTCGATCCATGTAGGTTGCGCTGCTTCACAATCAACTCAGAGTGCCTGGCATCTGCCTCGACTTCTAACTGAAACTCACCGTTCTCTCTTTTCGTCAGCTGCACCAACCGATTCAAGAAAAACATCTGCTTGTCATCTGTTGTGTTCAACCCTAATGTTGCTTCCCAACGAACCTTGTACTTTGAACGCAACACACTGTCCATGAATTGTAAATCAACATCATTGGCAAGAACCAAAAAATCATCACCGTGCACCATGCCCCACATGTTTCGTGTCTTGTGTTTGAATGTAGCTGGACATAGTTTTCCAATCTCAAAATCATGATTTGCCAACACTTGATTCCAATCTTTCTGAAAGATCCGTGAAGCATCTTGGGTGCCATACATGCTTCGATTCAACTTGCCACACATTGGTTCTGTATCTGTGTCTTGATGCAAATCTTCAGGCGGCAAACTAATGAACAAATCACGCTCAACTGTTCCCATGAAATGCGCCCGACTCACATCCCAAGAACCAAGCCTCAGATCTCTTGCACGACCTTTGTGCTGTGTCATCAGCATTGAACAAATCAAATAAAAAATTTCAACTGGCGGAGTGGCTGCAAACAACTCAACTTCCGAAAGCTGTTCACCAGGTGCCTTCTTCTTCTTAATCTCTCTTGCCACCCACCTTGAACGATACAAGGGCCTCTGGTCATCGCCCTTGTTGATGTCAACCCATTTTGTTGAAATTGGCTCACGTCCTGTCACTGCCAAGCATTGCGACAAGGGAACGCGATCATAAATCTTCTCGTCCTTGACCCATTTCAGCTCCTCTGCTCGAGCCTTCTGCACCATCTGCGGATCAAGGAGAACACCAGCAGCTGCATCAATGAACTCTTCTTCCTGCTGAGCAAACTCCTCTTCATTCCAAAGCTCTTCATGCGGCGATGGACCCGCATGCAACGACTCAAAAGAAGACAATGACCTGTCCGACAACAACTGTTCACGTAGCCCTTGCAACACTGCACGCACAAGTCGATCTGGGTAGACCTGTGCCTGTTTAGCAACACCTCCAATGAGCCTCACATGCCTATGTAAACACGGAGTGGTCTCTCCACAAATTTGATTCAAAACTTCAGCAAGCTTCTTTGAATTTGTAAGCCAAACTGTAGGCTTTCGCACGTATCCTTCTTGTTCACGACCTTTCAAAACCATTTTCCAACAACACATTGTCGAGCGAACTCTATAAACCCCTGGCAGGCTTTCAAACTCTTTCACTTCTGGCATGTCCCAAGCTTTTGAAAGCTCAGGGTGTTCATGAAGGAAATACCGACCAGCGTCATACTGCTTCTTGTACATTTGGACTGATGTCTTCACTCTTTCTTTTCCAACACGAATCTCTTCTGCTACAACTGTAGGATCCCTTTTGTAGTCTGACAAACTGCGAAGCGATGAAAATGGCCCACAAGGAGGACTGCCTGTCACCAACCAAGGTTCTTCGTTCTCAATGATGGCCTCCAACTCGAGCCTGTCACGCTTCCGATCAAGATCCCACATGTCACTCCCATCTGGTTTCATCTCATTCAAATCAACTGCCACCCCTCTTTGCAAACCGTAGCAAGCTGCAAGTGAAGTGAACCGACTGGGAGAGAAAATCTCCATCACATCAACTGAACAAATTGATGCTGACAATGTTGCGATCTTTTGCACTTCCGAAAAATTGTAATCAACCCCTTCTTTCACAAACTGTTGTTCAATCATTTCTTCCAAAATTCGTTTCTGCACTGCTTTGTAGCTATGGTCAATGTCAAATTCCAAACTATTCAAATCAAAACTAGCGACTGCATCTGTGGGTGTCTCTGTAGGCAATGTGGTTGCTTCTTCTGCCATGGTCTGCTCAACTAATGTCTCAATGTCAACTTCTGCCGGCCTCTTTGGGGAATCCGGCCTGGTCAAGGCAGCAGGAGGCCTCGAGGGCCTCGAGGCCGATGATGAACTCTGTCCTTCAAGCACTTCGACATCCACCTCAGCCTTTCGTTTCGAAGGACTGGATGGCTCGTCAATTCTGGCCCTTTTGTCTTCTGCAATCTGTTTTTCATCTTGCTCTTCCTGAATTCTTTTGTAAATTCTGGCACGACACTCAGCACTGTGCTGTATCTGCTGAATCATCTTGCCCTTCTTGACACTGTAGCAGCCGTCACAACCAGGAGTAGCTCCGAACTTCTCAATGAAGGCACGCTTGACTGGTTTGGCCTTCGCTGTACTCCTTGGCGACACATGCTCCTGGTCTTCAGCTGCATCAACTTGCACTGCCGTCTCATGCAAGCTTACCGGCACTGGGGTTGCCGGCATCATCAACGCAGGTGTCATCGGAGCAGGCGTCATTGGGCTCGACTCCAACTTCCTGTCATCTATTGCATGGATCTTCCACGGGGTCCCCATCAACTCACTCCAACCGTCAATGCTCCAACGTTCAGCTTCCGACAAACGATGAAACGAACTGCCGACCCGAACACCTTGTTTTGTGAGCACCAACACTGATCCAAACCGATTGTGCAATCCAACAAAATGTCCAGACTGCATCCTTGCTGCTGCATCGCTCCGTTTGCCACTGGATCCAGCCGCTTTGTACATGATGCGTTCACCAAACAAAGGAACTGGCTTCTTCCACTGTTTCCCCGTCCGACGTTCCTCCGGGGTTTGACCATCTGTACCAACCTTGTATCTGTTGATCATATCACTGCAATACCGGGGCAACCAAGACCAAACCACATGGTCTTCTGGGAGGCTCTGACCTAAACGCTTCTCAAGGCCACTCTTGTTGGCCCGCATGCGACGCTTCAAATCATTGATGCAACTCTCAACTTCACCATTTGCCTTGTGATCTCCTGGAGGAGACTCTTGGGGGATGATTGTGATATCCCCACAACCTGCAGCTGCTTCACGCTTCAACGCACGCATTGCTGGCTCACCATCACTCTTCGAGATGAACTTCTTGTATCCCAACAACTCATAAAATTTCCTCATCTGTTGCAAGCTAGCCTCATTCCGTGCCTTCTTGTTGTCAAGAGCTGTTGCAAACACCATCTTGGTCTTCCTGTCGATCATTGCAAGAAACGGTCTATTGTCATCCTCCTCCGGGGACATGTAAAAGAAATCATGGCTGACTACTGAAACTGTCTCTTCCTCATGGTCTTGCCTCATGTGGCGTTGTCCCAATCCCCAACCTTCAATGCACTGCGGGCACCAAGCCCTGTAAACCGCGTGACCACTTGCTTCATGCTCATCAATGTCTTTCTGGGTAGGCTGTCCTGGATCAAAGGCCGGAATGGCCCTACGAGCCTCAACTGGCTCCTCGACAGCCACCAACTCACCTTCCTCCAACGGAGCTAATGCAGGTTCTTGGAGCTCCGTTTCCTCCTCCTCTTGCAAGTCCGCCCATGATACTTTCTTCTTTGGCTTCTCAACTGATCCAAGTGAACGACTGTCTGACTCAACCTTCGACTGCGAGCCGCTCTCACCGACTCGCAAATACAAGTTGTACACGCCACGCTCCTCATACAAGGGGATCTCACCAACACCACCGAACCGACTGTAGGTTTTGCACAACTCTTTGTACAACCGACTTGAGCGATCAATCAATCTGCCACCGCCAGAGCCAAGCCACGTGTCAAAGCCCTTCTTGTGAACAGAACTCGCACTCAACAACACTTTATGGACATCAGTGACATGCCCAGTGACTCTTCTTTTGTGACCACTCTCATCAACACCTGTGATAGTTGCTTTGCCCAAATCATCCAACCTTTCCCCCGATGCGGTCTTGAAAGGCCGGTCACTCTGACCCGAGTCCACGCTCTCCGACTTGTAAACTTTGGGCAATGCTGTAATTGCTGCTCCTGTATCATAGTTCAAGCGAAGCCAACCATCACACAAGTCCGAACTCAAGTGACACAAATCTAGGCCACCAGCTTCTGCTTCCTTCTCCGGCTCCTGATTCAAGGCGTTCACACCTCGAGAGTTCCCTTTTGCATCTTTGCCTTTTCCACTTCCCTTGCTCCAACAATCTTTGGCCTTGTGGCCCTCTTTGCCACAGTTGTTGCACCGACCTTGGAAACGTGAGGCCTGTGATGAACTCCTCGAGGATGAAGTCTTGCCTTTGCCCTTGAACGAACTGTCCTTTCCTTTGCCCTTTCCTTTTGAGGACTTGCTCCAACAATCTTTTGCCAGATGGTTGGTTTTGCCACACAAGTAGCAAGCCCGCTTCCCATCTCCAGTGCCCTTCCCACCAGCCTTGCCTTTGTTACCCTTGGAACTCTTAATCAGAGCCCCGATGTCCTTGATGCCCCTCACGGCATCAATCAATGCTCCAACATCCATAGGAACTGCTTCGCTCGACGATTGACTGAAATTGTTGCTGATGGTCATCTTGGCACCAGTCTTCGCTTCCACAAACACACGAACTTCCTCCTCCATCTGGTCGTATGTCTTGAAGCGAGTGTAGTTCAACTGTAAATGTTGCTCCAGATCTTTCGGAACAAGCTTCTCCAAGGCATTCATTGCTAAACTCTCAGGAAGTTCTTCACGCTTCCCGAACTGATCCTTCTTCCGATTGTATCGGGCCCTCAAAGCCCGCCACCTTTCCAGTGCTCCAGCCAAGGTCTCATAGGTTGCTCGGTCCGGCGTAGTGAGAGCATTCAGCATCACGCGTTTCCTCCCACCTGTCGCCGGATCATATTTTCTATGCAGCAATCTCCAAGCCTCAAGCCCACTATTGCTCGACGTGTTGTCAACAACATCAAAAGGCGTCCCCTCAGTTGTCGACCTCAATGCACTGTACAACTTCGTGTTCATGTCATCAATGTCTTCAATGACATCATTTGGATCTGCATGCTCACCGTAGGTATTGGCCAACAATGCACTGCTTACCTCTACCTCTGATTCTGAAGCCCACTGCATAGCTTCCCTGAACTTTTCCCCAAAAACTCCTGCTACATAATCTTCAAGTTTGATACTCCACAGCCTGAAACGAAGCTCTGCTTGCTCATCGCCCAGCGTCTGCGGCTTTCCCAAGCCTTTGCTATCAAACAAGTTCTTTCTATCTCTGTGTCCCCCGATCGATTCGAGGGCTTTGGGGATCAACTTCAAGACCTCCATGCTCTCGGCCCTCTCTTGCCTCAAGGCCTCATTCACAGCAGCGACCTGTCGAACCTCTGTCTCCGCCTGTTGAAGCCTCTGAGTAAGCACAACGTTGGCATCCCTCATCTGTTGGCTCTCTGTCAAACTCCTCTGCAACTGTTCTTGCAATCGAGTTTGTCCCTGCTGCAGCGACTGAATTGCTTGCATCAATTGTTGGACATTCATCCCAGCTGCATCTTGTTGTTGGGCCATGTCGGAGTCAACAGCAACAAAAAGAACAACCCAACGCCCAGTCTCCCAAGCAATCGACCGACGAAATGCTCAACCAAGCGACAACCAATGTACAAGCTCAACAACCAATGCTGTTCCAACAAGCCCACAATGCACAAGCCAATGTCCAACACTGCCCTGATCAACTGATCAACACCGACAAAATGGGTCACAACTGCAAGACCCACAACAACTGAAGCAATGCTCCAACTCACCACCTGCGGCCCTTCTAAGTGGATCCTGTTGGACACGGCAGCCTTACCTTTAGACAATACCGTGCCCCGCCGCGCTACCATGCACGAGTGGGTTATTGAACCCTCCGCCCCGATCTCGCCTCGCCTTTTGGGCCTGCATGAGCTAGTGTATTGGACATCTTTACAAGTTCCACAGGATTGGATTGCATTAGATTAGAATAAAACAAAACAACTTACAAGATCATCTTCAACTGAATGAAAAAACACACCACCCCATGGCGGGCTTTTTCAACTGGAACCTTGGATCAACTTGGATCTTTGTCCGTGAGTTCTTATAGCCCGGCTACATCCCAGGTGGAAGACACTAATGTTGCAATGAATGCTCGCAGAAACCCTTTTGGTGTCGCGCAAGCTTTGATGCAAACATGGCTTGCTTCAACGGGACCTGGTGCTGTTGAGCGACTCGTCTCTCACTCTGGCTCGAGAAAAATTGGCATTGGCCACCGGGCTAACATACACAGGCGCAATGCCTCAACTTAGTCCTCGTTGAATCTCCTGCACCTGCGGCTCGAGCTGCAGGGGCTACCTCCCTAGACATTCAAATGCGGTTCTGAATGAGGTGCACTCCTGGTTGAATCTCGAGGCTCAGATGCGGTGCTGAATGAGGCGCACT